CGGGGGCATTGGCAGCCACAGGAGATGCTGTCAGGGTGGGGCAGGAGGTGAGCAGCCCCCAGGAGGAGCAGGGGGCCACGTGTGGGTGGGGTGTGTCAGATGTGGAGGGGGTTTGACCTCCTGTAGAACCCAGCGATGACTGTGTCTGTGTGTGGATGGGGTCTGAGCCCAGGTATAACCCTGGGCGTGGGCCTGTCTGTGTGTGGATGAGGTGTAACTCAAGAGATAACCCAGCGGGTGGGGGGCTGTGTCTGCATGCAGGGGGACTTTAACCTCAGCTACAACCCCAGCTGGCTCGGGCTGCACGTAGGCAGGCATAACACCCTGTATAACCCTGCAAGAGTCATATCTGTGCATGGGCAGTGTGTAACCCCATCTATAACCTCAGGGGGCTGTGTCCATTTGTGGGAAGGGGTAGCCCTCTGTATAACACTGCAGGGCTACATCTGTGTGTGCATGTGGGTGTAAATCCCAGCTGGAACCCAAAGGAGACACTGTCTGTGTGTCGATGGGGAGAGGTAACCTCACCTATAACCTGAGTGGGGGGCTTTGTCCATGTGTTGAGGGCATCTAACCCCAGCTATAACCCCAGGGGGACTGTATCTGTGTGTGGAGGGACTGTAACTCTCTGTATAACCCTGCAGGGCCTGTGTCTGTGTGTGGAGGGGCTTTAATCCCAGTGACAAGTCCAGGGTGGGCTGACCACCTTTGTGTGTGGATGCGGGGTAACTGCACCTATAGCCCCAAGAAGCTTGTGTCTGTGTGTGGATAGAGTTTAACCCCAGCAATAACCCGAGGGTGGGCTGTGTCCATGTGTGTATGTTGGGAGCGGGGAGGGGGTAACCCCAGCTATAACCTAGGGAACCAATGTCTGTGTGTGGAGGGGGTTTATCTCCAGCTATAACCTCAGGGGGTCCATGTCTGTGTGTGGGGCAGGGTAACCCCAGCTATAATACTGGGGGAGCTGTGTCTGTGTGTACATGGTGTTTAACCCTAGCAACAACCATAAGCTGGACTGTGTATGTGTGTGGAGGGGGTGGTAACCCTGGCACAGCCCCATTCACATGCGCCCCATGCCATCCCTGCAGGTGGCTTCATGATGCATCTAGTGACCGAGTGCCCAGTGGCTGCCAACGGGTCAGTGCTGGCCGTGGACGTCTACCTGGCCTTCAACAAGAACCGGCTGGTGTGCTACGACCCCAAAAGCCACCTCTTTTATGGCTGTGACTCGGGGCTACTGCAAAATGTGGCCTTCGGCATTGCCAGCACCCTCAATATGAACAGGACATTCATCCACCTGGCCGCCAGCAAGCAACAGGGCTGCCAGGACCAGATCCAGGGGCTGTGGGCCCAGACAGCACTCCGGAGACGTGCGTGGGACCACGGGGCGGCAGGGACAAGGAGGCGGGATGCTGGGGTAGAGGGGTCCATGCGGGGACAAAGAGACAGGACATCAGGGTGGAAGGGCCCGTGGATGGGTCTGGGGGGATGAGAAGACCAGATGCTGGGACAGAGGGGCCCCTGGGTGGGTCTGGGGGATGAGGAGACCTGATGCTGGGGTAAAGGGGCCTGTGGATGGGTGTGGGGAGACAAAGAGACCAGACGCCGGGGTAGG